AGGAATGCAGTGAGGAAGAGGATGGCTACAGCAGTGAGGAAGCAGAGAATGAGGAAGATGAGGATGACACTGAGGAGGCTGAAGAGGATGAAGAAGAAGAAGAGGAAGAAGAGATGATGGTGCCTGGGATGGAAGGCAAAGAGGAGGTACATGGGGAAGGGGACCAGTGAGTCTGGAAAGGCCAAGAGGCAGGTGAGAATCCCTTAATTTTGACTTTGAGACAGGGTATTCCCTGATATCTTACCACTGATGTCATGGTCTTGGGAGATACATTCTGCAAGGGGAAGTAGATAGTGTTTACAGCAAAATTATTTTTAAAAGAGAGGGAGCACACTGCTATCTCTGGGAAGATGGGATCTGTGCGCCTCCTGTTCGTTAAAGCTGTGTCGGGATTCCCACCAAGGGGAGGAAGCATAGGTGAAGGAGTAGGGGCACATCAGTGAGGGAGTGAGTAACACCCAGAAGTTCCCATAATGCTCCCTTTCTTCCTCTTAAGCCTGGCTCTGATAGTGGTACAACAGCGGTGGTGGCTCTGATACGAGGGAAGCAGTTGATTGTAGCCAATGCAGGAGACTCTCGCTGTGTGGTGTCTGAGGCTGGCAAAGCTTTAGACATGTCCTATGACCACAAACCAGAGGATGAAGTGGAGCTAGCCCGCATCAAGAATGCTGGTGGCAAGGTCACCATGGATGGGCGTGTCAACGGGGGCCTCAACCTCTCCAGAGCCATTGGTAAGGGCTGGGAAACTGTGGGAAAGACTTCTGAGGTCCTCCTCTGTCCCAGCCTACCTGGTAGCAAACTTTAGTCTGCATAGCTCTTATACCTTTCAAAATATCTTCATGTCTACTACCTCTGTCCTTAAACGTCTTTGTGAAATAGCTAAGACAGGGACCAGCAGTTGGCGTAATGGCTATGTTGCTGGGCTCCCATGTAGTCGACCTCAGTTCGCATCCCAGACCCAGTGGCTTAAACTCATGCTGGGCATGTTGTGCGTGCGTGCCCAAGATCCCGAGAGGAGAAGGGATTGCAGCGTGGCCAAACCCCCTGGGGGGTGATTTCTTGCTTTCTGTCTCTCCGTCTCTGTCTTTTTGGCAAGTGCACGTGCCCTATAGCAAAAACCTCTCCAAAAGGAAAAAAAAGAGCTAAGACAGATACCATTATCCTCTGTGCCTTTTGGATGATGTGCCTTTTGTTAGCTAAAGCTAACAAAACTAGAACATGGTTCTTTGTTCCACTACATTATGGAACTTCATCAAGAATGGAAATGAATGGTAAAGTTTGACATGCCTCAAACACAAGTCTGTGGAGGTATTCATACTCCTTGTCAACCAGCCATTCCTTCACTTTAGGAGACCATTTCTACAAGAGAAATAAGAACCTGCCACCCGAAGAACAGATGATTTCAGCCCTTCCTGACATCAAGGTGCTGACTCTCACTGACGACCACGAATTCATGGTCATTGCCTGTGATGGCATCTGGTAAGCACTGGTGGAACGCCTAACACCCCCTTGCTGCAGCATTGCTTCTCTTGTAGGGTCGGAGCTGCTCTAGGATTAGAGCCTAGGCAGACCTCTTGGTGAGTCAAGACCACCAAGCCGAAGGCAGAGCCGAGAAGAATATCTGTAGGTGTTTTCATTGGCCTGGCCACTGTGGCTATCTGCATTCCTCTACTCTGCCTTGGTGAGACTAAAGAAGATTCTGACTCTTATTTTTGACCCCAGGAATGTGATGAGCAGCCAGGAAGTTGTAGACTTTATTCAATCAAAGATCAGCCAGCGTGACGAAAATGGGGAGCTCCGGTTATTGTCATCCATCGTGGAAGAGGTGAGTTCCGAAGTGAAAAGAGAGTGGTTGCAGTCAAGGTTTTCTCTTTTCACCTGAGCTAAGATCAGAGTCTGGGAGTACCGTTAGTCACCGACAGATGCCAAATCCCAACTAAAAATTCCACTTCCCGTCATCTCCCTGGCTTAGCCTTGTGCCTCTTGAACTAGCAGGTGGGCTGTTTTGTGATACCTGTTACCCATTCCTTTCCTTCCACACCCTGTCTCAGCAATGCTGGCCTGGCCCTCTTGTGGGATTCTAAGTTCCCAGGAAGGGGTTCAAGCCTGTGGCTGAGCTGCCCCATCCCTTTTGTAGCTGCTGGATCAGTGCCTGGCACCAGACACTTCTGGGGATGGTACAGGGTGTGACAACATGACCTGCATCATCATTTGCTTCAAGCCCCGAAACACAGCCGAACTGCAGCCAGAAAGTGGCAAGCGGAAACTGGAGGAAGTGCTCTCTACCGAGGGGGCTGAAGAAAATGGCAACAGCGACAAGAAAAAGGCCAAGCGGGACTAGCAGTCATCCAGACCCCTGCCCGCCTAGACTGTTTTCTGAGCCCTGAGACCTGAGACTGGTTTTGTCTTTTTCCTTTAGCCTTAGCAGTGGGTATGAGGTGTGCAGGGGGAGCTGGGTAGCTTTACCCAGCCCATTCCAAAGAGGGCGCTCCCTCCACACAGCAGCCTGGGAGCCTCTGCTGTCCTCCCCAGCCTCCTCCTTGCTCCTTTGGGCTCATCACCGGTTCTGTGCCTGTGCTCTGTTGTGTTGGAGGGAAGGACTGGCGGTTCTGGTTTTTACTCTGTGAACACTTTATTTAAGGACATTCTTTTTTATTGGCGGCGCCATGGCCCCCAGCCGCTTGCACCCGCTCTCTGTTGTACACTTTCAATCAACACTTTTTCAGACTAAAGGCCAAAACCTAATCGTGCCCATGGTGTCCTTTTTTCTCGGCTGCTGTGGCCCTAGACTTGCTCAGTCGGTAGCATCCAGCAAGCTTCCCCGCACTCCAGTGCGCGCATCTGTGGGTCTGTGTCTTGTGCCTGTGCAGCGTGTGTGTGTGTGTGTGTGTGTGTGTGTGTGTGTGTGTGTGTCCATCCGTCCGTCCGTCCTGTACCTGTGTAGGAGAGGGGCCTGGCGTCGTGTGTCTCCCAAGAGCTGCTGACAGCCTGCCTGGCTCATCCTCACCCCCTCCTGGCGAGCAGAATGATTTCCTAGTTCCTCCAGGAAGGGGTCAGGACCGGTACCGCGACCCCGAAGCCTGTGGCAGGGGCTGGGCGCCTTTCGCCGTGCTGGCCGGCCTGGTTTTTCTCTGGCCGCTGATTGGCTTGCTGCTGTGTGTCGTCACAATCACTTCCTGGTCACGCCGTGGAGGCGTGACCACTTGATTTAAGGACTTTCTTTTTTATGGGCGGCGCCATGGCCCCCAGCCGCTTGCACCCGCTCTCTGTTGTACACTTTCAATCAACACTTTTTCAGACTAAAGGCCAAAACCTAATCGTGCCCATGGTGTCCTTTTTTCTCGGCTGCTGTGGCCCTAGACTTGCTCAGTCGGTAGCATCCAGCAAGCTTCCCCGCACTCCAGTGCGCGCATCTGTGGGTCTGTGTCGTGTGCCTGTGCAGCGTGTGTGTGTGTGTGTGTGTGTGATTGTGCCTGTGCAGGGTGTGTGTGTGTGTGTGTGTGTGTGTGTGTGTGTGTGTGTGTCCATCCGTCCGTCCGTCCTGTACCTGTGTAGGAGAGGGGCCTGGCGTCGTGTGTCTCCCAAGAGCTGCTGACAGCCTGCCTGGCTCATCCTCACCCCCTCCTGGCGAGCAGAATGATTTCCTAGTTCCTCCAGGAAGGGGTCAGGACCGGTACCGCGACCCCGAAGCCTGTGGCAGGGGCTGGGCGCCTTTCGCCGTGCTGGCCGGCCTGGTTTTTCTCTGGCCGCTGATTGGCTTGCTGCTGTGTGTCGTCACAATCACTTCCTGGTCACGCCGTGGAGGCGCTCACCGCTGTAGCTTCCCACGGACTACGCGTCCCGTGCGGCTCTGCGGCAGCGGGAGGGGGAGGGGGGACGGGGGGGACAGGCG